GGATCTGGTGTTGGTTAAAGATCCTCCTAAGTTTTTCCGAAACTCCTGAAATGTATGGAATGACGATATTCCCCCTGCTCCTGTTGTCCTCCCTCTTTGTGGGCCTTTTTTTTTTTTTTAAAGCCCATCTGGGATAGCCACAGGTCTTGAGAGCTGTCCTAATGTGTCTCACCTCTGTTGGTGGTGGGAATGCTATCTGCATGTGACTGTAGGGTTCTGATGACTCCTAATTTGTTCAGTGGGTGGTGTGAGTCAAAACGGAGGTACTAGTTGGTGTGGGTTGGTTTCCTGTACACCTCTATGTTGAGTTGTCTGTCCTCTGAGATGTGAACAGCACAGTCCAGGAATGCAAGACTGTTGTTTTTCCACATCTTCTCTGGTGAACTTGATGTTCCTGTCCACTGCGTTGATGTGGTCTGTGAAGTTGTCGTCCTCATGGACCTTGATTTTGACCCAAGTGTCGTACACATATCGGAACCAGTGGCTGGGTGATGTTCGCACGTAGGAATGTAGAGCTCGGCTCTCCACTTCCTCCATGTAGAGATTTGCCACTATGGGAGACACAGAAGAGCCCATAGCGCAGCCATGCTTTTGTCTGTAGAAGGACTCGTTGGAAGTAAGTGGTGGTGAGGCAGAAATCCAAAAGGTCACAAAACACACTTCTTTGAGGACAACAATGTACACATTTTGACCAGAGAAGACAGATGGTTTGAGAGAGGGGTAAAAAAGAAGCCATTTTTGTCAACCTGGAAAAACCATCACTCAACAGATGAGGTGGACTCAGACACAACCTATCACCCACTTACAAAGCACTTTTAGGAACAATACCCAAAAGTTTTACCTCAGTTTCACACAACAAAGAGACAGGTGACTGAAACTGTTCTGATGAGGACCACAACGACCCATCAGACTCTTAACAACTGTTTACACTTTCACAGTTGACCCCAAGGCCCCACCCAACAGGGTGGAGCTGAAGTAGCGTTTTTCTTTCACACCTAGAGTATATATCTGCTGTACTCCCCACCACCAGTTAGAACTGAAGAAGTCTCTTGGATTAGAGGTGAAACGTCTTCTTTTTGAAAAATTCACGTCCAGTTGCCCAACAGAACTTTTTTTAAACTTGACCATGACCTGGATGACTGAGAATCTTCATAGACAGCACTTTAGTAATCCCTCGGGAGTTCCCTTTGGGAAATTTAGACTCCAGAAGCAGTACAGCACCAAAACAATATTAAAAACACACGAATAGGTAACATAATACAAAATGGGAAACCTGAACAGTGGATTTTAGTAGATTAGTGGGTTAGTAGACGTATATAGATGGTGTTAGTAGGTAAATATTATTGCCATGTATGGCATTGTTACACTAAGTATACCACATTATCTCTATGGTATGTATATGTATATTTAAGCAAAACTAGTATAAGTTTAAGGATGTTATGTGAACAGGTATATACTGTAACTAGTTTAAATATATGTATAAATACTTGAGTAATTAAATAATTAAATTAGATAAACAGTTAGCTATATAGGCAGTTCCAGCAGATATATTAGTGTATGGGGTGTCGACCAGATTTATACTATATAATAACCATTATTACTAGGAGCTACTATACATATATAATATTATGTAGGATATCTGTTAGTAATATATTTATACACATTATATAAGTTGTAAATATGCATATTTATATACATACACATGTACATACGCCCACATCCACATATATGCACTATATATATACTGTATATAAATATATAAATATATATATGCACACATACAGTACATATACCTACATACCTACACACATACATATATATACACATCTAAATATGCATATACATACATGTACGTGTATGTCTGTACATACGTACAGACATACACATACATAAGAATTGTGTGAGCATATACAGTACTTAATTATATAATAGAATATACAATAGAAATACAATGGTTTATTGAAATACAGAGGGTCCAGGGTGATGCCCACCACAGACCTAGACTTCCTGATCAGCTTCTTCAATCTGTAGAAGTCCTTCTTTGATGTGCTGCTCCCCCAGCATACCAGAGCGTACGAAATAACAGGCAACCACAGACTGATAACACATTTTCAGGAGCTTTCTGCAGGTGTCGAAAGACATTTTTGTTTATGTTGTGCTGAGTGTGGCTGATAATAGACCCCAACTCCCCTGTTTCTGTTTACATTTGCTGCGGACAAGCAAAGTGAAGGGATTTAGCCCTGGAACTAATGCTAGCTTCGGCCCTGGAGCAGATCACTAAGTCTCCTCCGTGAATTCTAACTACGGTCGGGACACCGAAACAGGAAAGAGCTAACATGTAACCAGCCATGGTACAGGCACTGTTCGGAAAAAAGCATTTATTTAATAAAAAAAAAAAACATTTTTAGGGTCAATATATCATGTTACAACATGGACACCTGTGGCTTATAGATAAGTACGGCCTATACATGTACAATTATTTTTTTCTTTTTAAATTTAGTGGGTGCAGTTTATATTTAGGTGCGCTTAATAGTCGGGGAATTACGGAATTTACCCTTTACGTACCTCCCCACACTGTTGTCAACCCACCCTAGATTGTATTACCTTTTCCGATACAATTAAACGCACAGTAAAGTGGTGATGCAAAGTGAAGTGAACGAGAGATTGGCCAGCAGACAAGGGGAGATGCTTAGAGATGCTAGGTAAACAAAGCTACCAGCAATCATTCGCAAATCTCAATTTCAAAACGAGAATCCAAGTTTTTAAAGCCAAAACAAAATATCCATCCATCCATCCATCATGAACCATCAACCGCTTATCCGGGGCCGGGTCGCGGGGGTAATAGTCTGAGCAGGGACACCCAGACTTCCTTCTCCCTCGCATTTCCTCCAGCTCTTCTGGGGGGACCCCAAGGCGCTCCCAGGTCAGCCGAGCAACGTAGTCGCTTCAGCGTGTCCTAGGTCTTCCCCCAGATCTCCGCCCAGAAGGACAGGACCCGAGCACCTCCCGAGGGAGACGTCCAGGGCCACCTCAGCTGACTCCTCTCGATGTCGAGGAGCAGCGGCTCCACCTCGATTGGTGAGGTCACACACTGATGTTGGTCGAGAAGGCCTGGCTCTCAGTCTCCGCTCTAATTCATCCCAAAGGTGTTCTATCGGGTTCAGGTCAGGACTCTGTGCAGGCCAGTCAAGTTCATCCACACCAGACTCTGTCATCCATGTCTTTATGGACCTTGCTTTGTGCACTGGTGCACAGTCATGTTGGAAGAGGAAGGGGCCTGCTCCAAACTGTTCCCACAAGGTTGGGAGCATGGAATTGTCCGAAATGTTTTGGTATCCTGAAGCATTCAAAGTTCCTTTCACTGGAACTAAGGGGCCAAGCCCAGCTCCTGAAAAACAACCCCACACCATAATTCCTCCTCCACCAAATTTCACAGTCGGCACAATGCAGTCTGAAATGTACCGTTCTCCTGGCAACCTCCAAACCCAGACTCGAATTATGGTGTGGGGTTGTTTTTCAGGAGCTGGGCTTGGCTCCTTAGTTCCAGTGAAAGGAACTTTGAATGCTTCAGGATACCAAAACATTTTGGACAATTCCATGCTCCCAACCTGGTGGGAACAGTTTGGAGCGGGCCTCTTCCAACATGACTGTGCACCAGTGCACAAAGCAAGGTCCATAAAGACATGGATGACATAGTCTGGTGTGGATTAACTTGACTGGCCTGCACAGAGTCCTGACCTGAACCCCGATAGAACACCCTTGGGATGAATTAGAGCGGAGACTGAGAGCCA